AACAATTGTCCTTTCCTTCCCATCTCCTTTCTTCTTCTCCCCTCCCTTCTCTTTTCTTTATTAATTTTTATCTAAACATATCCTAAAAGCTATTTCTTAATAATTTTAACTAGTGATTCCTTTTCCATGGCAGCATTGAAATAGGACTTTAAGTGAAAATGTTATGTCCTTGATGGCTGAAAAGGGGAGAACTTGTAGCAACATGGACCGCATTAGTAGATTACCTGATGAACTTCTTTTGCTCATTATATCATTGCTTTCTATGAAGGATGCTGTTCGCACCTCTACTCTTTCGACAAGGTGGAGGCATCTATATGCTTCGGTTTCTAACCTTGACCTTCGTTTCTCAGTTGATCATGTTGGTTTCATGGATTTTGTGGATAGACTATTCTTTTTGCGTAAAAGATGCATTATAGAAAATTTTCATCTCTGTTGTTCACGGTCACTACCTCTTGATCCTTCCCGCATTGAAGGGTGGATATGTGCTGTAATGTGGCATGGGATTCGAGAGCTTGATTTAACTGTTGATACTATTGCTAAGCTGAATCTTCCGACGAGTTTATTTACTTGTAAGACATTGGAGGTTCTGAAATTGCATGTGGATTATGATTGTCCTATAGAAATCCCTGCCAATGTTTATCTGCCAAGTCTTAAGGTTCTTCACCTCACGAATACTGCTTGCATTTTAGATGGTGATTCTGGTGAAAGATTGTTTCCTAACTGCCCAATCCTGGAGGATTTGGTCATAATCACTTATGTCAGATATTTAATTGGCTATGATCTAAGAGTTTGTAGTTCCACACTCAAGAGGCTGACCATAGTTACCAATGCTTTTCGTGAGCCAAGGGACCCTTTCCAGGTTTTTATTAATGCCCCAAATCTTGTCTATTTTAAATACTGTGGTTGGGAAGGAGACACTTGTGCATTTGTAAACGTGCAGTCTCTTCTTGTTGAAGCCGATATTGATTTCCCGAAGTATAGTGGAAACAATCATTATCTTCAAATTGCAACAGATCTGATGAGAGGGATAAGCAAGGTTCAGACACTTTGTATATCTGCTATGACTCTTATTGTAAGTTCTCTAACCACACCTCGCTCCAGAGATGAAAAATGGATTACAAAATTGTATAGTCTGTTTGTTCAATGATTTTCTACAGCCATATTGAGCAGCTAATTATGACTTTTCTTCTTCTTTTGCAGCATCTTAAAGAGAATCTCGTTCCAATCCCTTTGCTCAAAAATCTGAAAATTTTGAGAGTTTTCCATTGTGAAATGCAAGGCTTGGAAGGGCTACCATATTTAATTGGACGTTGTGATTCTCTGGAAACCCTTGTTCTGGAGATGGACTCTGATAGAGCAATGTTTGACTTATTTAAATGGGTTCCCGAGACATGGCACGCTCTTGAGGAATTGAGGGTCAACTGTTTGTTCACTTGCCTCAAAAAAATTGAAATTTTTACTTTCAAAGGGAATGAAGAACATATGAAGATGGTGGAATATTTTCTAAAAACTGCAAGTGTTCTAGAGAACTTGGAAATACATATTTGGGCAAAATATGAAGAACGGTTGGAGATCACTAATGAGTTACTAATGTTGCCAAGAGTCTCAAAAGATTGCAGAGTCACTGTTGTCTAGGTCTCTCCATCTTTCTTGTGCATTTAATTGTCTACAGTTGTTTATTTGTTTACTTAATCTCATTTCATCTTTTTAAGACATGCTGGTTCTGGATATAAATTCTTCTCTGTGGATTATGTAAACTGTAAACCTTTCTTTTTTCCGTGGTTCTGCCACTTATTATATCTGTGAAACTAGGGTTGAAAGGTTTCCTGTTCAAAACTACCTTTACACTAACAAAGGCTACCCTGCTAATAAAGGTGGTTTAGGGTGAGATAGCTTCCCTGCAAGTATCATATCTATGTTATCATTTCTGTTCAATGGGGACAATGAGATCACCTTATACTGATTCTCCTTTTTCTTCTACCAGCTAATTTTCATTCTAAGGGAGGAAAGACTGAGGATTGTGGAAGAGGTTCAAGAATCTTGTTCCTTTTATATAGTTTAAGTCATAGAACTTCAGCATGCAAATTCACATAACCTGAAAAATGAGATGATTATTGTTCTCCCCAAGTTTAACGGTTTTGATTTTCCTACCTAAATTGAAAAGATTATCATTTTCACAAATCTGTGATCAAGTGCTGGTGTTTGATAATTGCATTCTTCTTGTTAAATAGGGGTATAGACATTTCCATTTATTTCTGCCTGTGGGTTCACACCTCATTAGATGTTCCAAAATGTGCACTTGAAAGAACAAATGCTTAATGCCACCATATGATTACCCAAAGTTCTATCTTCTGAAATGAGTTGTAGCATAATAATATGCAATGCTTCTCAGAGACTGGCCCATTGGGAAACATCAAAGTAGAAGAAACATTTTTCTTTGCTCAAAATGGTTATGGTAGATTTATGGTGTTCTTTTCATCGGCAGGTGGATTTATGCTGTTAATTTGAATCATTGGTTTGATTTAAATATAAAAATGATGGAGATGGACGTTTTCTGATGAGGATCTCCCTGTGCAGAGGAAATTAGAGGCCCTCCTGTTGTCCTGCAATGATTGGTGAGGGAGGATACAGGCAATTGGATTAGGGGATTCAACACTGCCCCGGAAAATTGCAGAATTAAGATTACAGTTGCATAAGGAGTTGGGAATCCAGCGGTATTTTATTGCCAGTTCCAGCTAGTTAATGTTGGTTGTTCTAAGCAGCTTAATATAGTTTCATTTCCAAAGAGAACAGAGGTACACATAATGTGATGCACATTTATGCTTTTCTTTTATTGGGGAAGTTGCATCTGAACCTTTGTTTTATTTATTTATTATTATTATTTTTTTTTTGGTAGATTAAAGCTTTGTTTTATTAGCAGATGTTGCTAATGTTATGCACTCTTCTTATGGAAAAGATTCCAGACTTGGCCCTTCATATTGAGTCGTTCTTTGTTTTTCCAGACTAAGACATGCCATCATTTTGTTCTGGATATAACTTCTCTATGGATTGTCTTAAAGGTTTATATCTTGTCTGTTTACCCCTTGCTTCTAATACATGTACCATGGATGACAACTCTCATTTAAAACTACCTTTGTATATACAGATAAAAGTAATTTTTTTATATATCAGAATGTTAGTTGCATAGCAATAGAAATAAAAACCTCTGATATTTATACTGACAAAGGTAGTTCAAGGTGTTAGAGTGAGACAATTCTTGCTCCTATCTTTTGTGGTCGGCTTTGGACAATGAGAGCGACATTACTCCTCTTGTCGTGGCGTTATTTAGCCAAAAATAGGGTTGTGTAAAATTGATGTCTGATCCTGGTTGCTGGGATTAGAACATTTGACGGTTGATCACCATGAAAATATGGACAAAATTACTTGAGTTTGAAAGGTAAGAGAGTCAATTAGGTGGTCCTTTTGTCATGGTGTAGTGAAATTGAATTCTGATGGCTGACTGCTGGGATTGGAAAATTTTGAGTGCAACTGCGGATGGTGGGGTAAGTAGTCGAGAATTGTTCAAATTTTTCTAGTAAATTTTTTTATATGATAATTTATTTAAAATATTTTAATTTTTTTATTATTAATTTTAATATTTTGTTAAAATATTTTATTTTTTACAGTCTTTTATAAGAATTTCACCTCTAAATTGCGAAGAAGTGTAAAGAGACTGTATACCTAAAGGCCGACGTTGGAAAGTTCTTTTAAAAATGGTCGAATAGAGTTCTCATGTAATGTATCTCTAAATCTATTTTATTTATGCAGAAGTAAAGCTCTACTAATCATCTTTAATTT